CTTTGCACTACAGTAAATATCATGCGATGATTGAGGGATACTGTGATGCAAATTGGATCACCGATTTAGCTGATTCGGAGTCCACAAGTGGATATGTATTCACTATTGGTGGAGGATCGGTATCTTGGAAGTCGTCCAAACAAACTTGTATTGCCTGCTCTACAATGGAGGTTGAGTTCATAGACTTAAATAAAGCCGGTGAAGAAGTTGAATGGCTCCGGAATTTCTTGGAAGACATTCCATTTTGGCCTAAATTGTTGGCATCAATATGCATATAATGTGATAGTAGATCACGCCAGTCGCTGCAAATATAATCCAGTCTAAAAGTCCGTAGTCGAATCCCACAGAGAACTAAGGCTTAGGTATATCTGTTTAATATCACTAAAAAGACAAGTTTGAATAATTTTTTAAATTATAAGGATTGAGATTTATATTTCTAACTAATTAACTAGCAAATACTAGAAAGCGGTAAAATTATCAACTAAAGAGACAAAGGGTTGGAGACTAAATTAAGGAGGTCTAGAGTTATGATTTTCCCAAGTGTCGAAATCCTTCTAGCTATGTTCCCTATAATTTCTCCGATGTATTCCCTACTGATCGTGAGCACTTTAGGTGTCGTAATTCTCTCTCGAGCAACTACAACAATTTACTAGATATATTCTCTCGAACTACACTAGTTGGCTTTATCTAACCGCTCATTATGACCACGTCAAGGCTTTGTTATTTCTAAACCTACCTTTAAACCCGTTGTATTGATTTCTCACATACGTTAGGAGTGGCGTTGTTCAATAACCACCTAAATATGCATCCTTTCTCAAGCAACACATAATAAATAGGCACAGTCAATTGATGGTCATTCAATCAACATCAACAAACACGTAGTTGAACAAGTAGATAAATCCAAAGGTTAAATTATATTAAAACATAATAAGAATTCATCCTCCAAAAGGTTCTATCAAAACCCTAGATAACAAATTAGTTATTCATAACAGTATGTAAAACTACAATACTAAAAGTCATAACCAATAATGAAAATAGGAAGAAGAAAGTGAATAACTCGTAGAAGAATTCTCCGTTTTGCTCCTAGTGTGTTCTTGCCTCCTTAGGTCGAATCTCCAGTCTCATTGGCTTCCTTAGGTCTAAATTATATCAAAAGTATGTCCAACTTCTTAAAATACAATTTTTCCATGTATATATACCAAGTAGGGTCGGGCCCAAACAATTATACCTCCTCCTACGCGAAAAAAGACAATTTTTCAGGTCTAGACGCTCGCGGTCGCGGTCCGAGCGCGTTATTTTCCCAGTGTACTGCCTCAGTCCGCGTCCAGGTACGCGGTTCCGGTTTCTACCATATTTTTCGCCTTGTTCAGTTTGGAATTTGGAAAAATGTAAAACATAAAGTTGTAGCTCTTTGAGTTAGCTTTCCAACCATATATTGTATAGCCCAAATGGAGTTTCGGATCAAAGAGTTATGTCTATTTTATTAGACAGTACACAATATGCCTACTCGAGTCTTCGTTTGTTCTTAACTATCAAATTTGACCCCCGAACACGATCCCGGCTTAATTCTTTGGGCTTTTACTCATACTTCAAAGCTCCAAATCACTAGAATTCATTCCATAGCATCTATATATCTCGGAATCACTCCTACAAGGCATAAAACACACCATTAGTGCAAAACACTAGCGATTAAAGATCAAACTCAATTAAAGTACAGTAAATTAGAGTGTAATAAGCGACTAAAATACGCAATTATAGCCTATCATCAATTGTCAAGAGGCAATTGGAAGGGCTGGGAGCGTTATGTATAACGGTAAATCTCGTCATATACGACAAAAATATAAAACCGTTAGGCAATTACTCTCCAGAGGAATTATCACGATTGACAATGTAAAGTCAAGTGATTATGTGTCGGATCCACTTACAAAAGGCCTAACTAGATAGGTAGTTGAGAAATCATCAAGGAAAATGGGACTATGACCGAGAACTAGTCATAGTGGCGGTAACTCTACCTAGAAGACTAGAGATCCCAAGATCTAGGTTCAAGGAGATCAAACAAAGTTATTAATGACGGTTCAACATTGTCGACTAAATCTTTGGTCCATTCTCGTGATGAGACAATGTTCAGTACCAAGGATAGCGCATTAAGGCTTTTTAATGATTTTTAAATTTGATACGGGTATATCAAATAGTGTATCTACGGGATGACACGTTTAGGAATCACCTATGCAAGTGTGAAGTGTTAGCCGCTTCAAGAAGAACTTTGTAAGGCCATTTCTCTACACACTTATGAAATCAGGCGGTGTTCATGGCTGAAACGAACATAACAATGAGAACCAAAGACGGTTAAGGGTTAGTTGTGTGACTTATGGTTGTCTAGGTATACACCAAAATTCGATGGTTCAAAGATATCAAATCTACCGATTAACCGAGTATATCCGACATAAGTTCACTATGGAAAGTTCAAAGGGAAACCTACTTATCTAGATGCAACTAGTCCTTGCTTGCGAATCACATAGTTTTTCATGCATATTTCCATGATATAGCTATTCCCCATTCATGTGGGGATTGTTGGGGTTTTAAGTATATTAAATGCTTAAAAGAGGGTGAATGTGAAATGGAGGAAAATAAAAATTTTGAGTGAAATTTTAAGTTTTCCCCCTTGATGAAGGAACATTGTCCCATATTGGAAGAGAAAAAGGTTTTTTATGGGTATATAAGCAATTTCTTTTCTTCTAGCTCTTAAAGAGTTGAGAAGAAGGCAAGCCTCGCGTCGTCGTCGTCGTTGTTTGCTCGGCTTCGGATTCGGATTCGTCGCTCGCTCCGCTCGGCTTCGGTTTCGAATTTGGATTCAGTCAATTGATTGATTAATTTTTTGGACCAAATTTATTTGTTAATAGTAAAATATTAACAGAAATATTATTAAATATTCGTTTTAATAACAGAATATTAATATTAAAATAAATAGTAATATTAAATCCAATCAGTTTTTCATTTTTCAGTTGTGTAACTGAAAATTAAACTACCCTCTTCAATTTTTCCTCTTTATTTTTCCCTCTTTATTACTGAGTAAATAGCCATTTATGTTAAGGCATTTATGCTATGGCCGTTTTCAGGGGCGTACGTAGAACTTTTTGTAAGCGGTGTCGAAATTTAAAGTGGTGAACAAATTACTACAATAAATATGGGAGATAAGAAATAGAGAAGAGCAACACCGCCAAACCCTATCACTTAGAAATTACAAGTTATAGAGGATGAGATTTTTTTCGTAGTTACTGTTTAAAATTCGTTTATCTTATTGTAAAATAATTACCTTTTAGAAGTTAAATAGTATTTCATTATCACTTATGGTGCCACGGAAGAGGACATAGTTCTACTTTTTAAACAAAAGAGGCTTAAAAGAAAAAAATGCAAAAGAAACGCATACGAAGTATTCGAACCGCAGACATCGAAGTTGCAAGTGAGGAGCTTGACCATCAGACCAGACACTGTATTTTGTTCAGCTGTGCCATATGATTGATATGTATACCTTTTGCACAATGTTTATATGTGTAATAATTAAAATTTTCCTTGGACTAGGGTGCATCCGCCCCTGGCAGTTTTGTATAAACAATCATTCTGAAGAGTTGCACCTCTTAAGATTTCAGCCCAACTATGGCTATAAATACAAGTCTATTCTCTTAGAATTTTCATACGATTTTCTGAGTTTCTCCTCCTTCTTCTGCTTACTTTTAACATCAAACAAAGCAACAGTAAGTGTGATTTGCTACCGAACTTTGTGTTCGCTAAAACACTGGGGTTTGAAGTACCACTACACCAATGTGTAATTTGTTCTATCCTGAGAGGAAATAATTCATAACCTTGGATACTAGGAGGGGATTAAATTCCTTAAGAAAACACTGTGAATTCAATGGGCTCGAATTGATTTTTATCTCTTTATATTTTTTGTTTATATGTTATTCTGTTTTTTCCGCAATTAGTTTACAAATACAGCATTGTAACATAAAGCACTGCAGCTTGTAGTTTCAGGTTTTTAGCTTAACATATATAACTACTTTGTTAAAATGCTGGAAATTAAGTGGATATTTGAATTCTCATTGTTGAGGAAAGATCCTTACTTGCACCATTACGTGTATTTGCTAAGTGCTAACAGACAGGCCAAGTCGAAGTAATTCTAACCTCCTATGCCGAAGTCAATATTAATTGCTTTTTGATCTTTGAAGTTTTGTTGACTACGAGACCCCATATACAATTTGAATAATAGTCAACTTTTCAACTCATTGATCAGGTCAGCAATACTTTGATTTCGTTACAAAAGAAAGCCCCACCACCCCACTAACATGGAGTTGGTCCTAACCTATCCATAGAAGCTGACATGCTCCAAAACGGGGTATAAATTATAATAGTAGTAGTAGAAAGACAAGCATAACCATATGCTCAAACCATAGGAAACAAGACGTGTTTCAGCATTATATAGTATTTCCTTAATAAATTAACCTTTAGTTAATATTAAAATCTTTTTTGGTCCAAAATAGAAAATAAAATGTACTCCCCCGGTTCTATTTTATATAAAAACAATATTACCTTAGTTCGTTTAAAAACAATGAAGTGTCTTTATATTTGAAAAATAAATTAACTTAAACTTCTTATTGTATTCTTAATTTTTTTTATTAGCTATACATATATTATGATATATTTAAAGATCATAACTTTAAAAAATATATTTTTTTATTAAATATCATTAAATTAAATTATTTCATTAATTAAAACGGAAGAAATATTAGTTAGGAATTAGGGGAACTTCCTAGTTAAATCCACAAGAAAATTATAAATATCATGTTTGCAATAATAGACTCCAACAACACGTGTTGATAGGAGAGTGGTAGTTTCCAAGTTCGATCCACCAGCCTTCGAAGTCCAAAGACTTGCGAACCAATTCAACGAATTATACATTAGGGAACGATAATGGAAACTTCTTTTCTCCTCAATCCACTTGATTCCATATGTTTCCAATTTTACTTGGGAGAAAGATTCCAAATTTTAACCTCCTCCCCCCTTATAAATACACCTCCTTCTCCAGCTTCTTTTCTTCGTAAACAAGTTTTAGCATCCCTTACACTTCTTACCATAAACCAATCAATTACTTATTTCTTGCGTTACCTACTTTAATTTCTTGTGTTATTTGTTTTCTCCGAATTAGAAAAAAAAAAAAAAAAACAGCAACTATAATGATGTCAATATTCAGTTCTTTTGACGTTCTCTCTGCTGAGATATTTGGCCTTAAGGTGAATCGCTCTTGGGCACCGGCCAGTACTGAGAAGAAACAACAAGAACAAGGGGTTTCGCCTCTTGTATCCGATCGCAAGAACGAGGCTTCTCCGCCGTCAACTTCTTCAACCGGTGGACTGAAGAAGGTCGGAGAGGCGGCGGCGGCGTCATCTTCGCGACCACAGCAACAAAAGAGGCCGAGGTTTGCACTGGAATTGGACGGCGTCCACTGTTTCGAGACAATCCTTCCCTATTGATTTTCTTACAATAATTCCAAAATTGAAATTTTTATTTTATTTTTTTTTTGTTAAAATTGATATTGAAATTCTTTGTTCTTGTCTGGTTGTAATCAACCATGGGCATGTAACCGTAAATTCCGTTGATACAATTTATTATCTGATATTCTATTATTTTGATTCACTTTTTTGAGTACTTTATTTCATATATAATTTTTTTTTTACCTTTGTTTATCTTTTTTCCCGATCAAATACGGTTAAAGAATCGCTTCAACCACTAATGTATTCAGAACTAGTATTGAAATATAAAAAGTAAGGAAGACTGTTAGAAAAGTGGGAAAAAAATTTAGTGCAACTCAAACTAATTAACCACGGAAGCTAATTTTGACATAAATGGAGTCCGGGGTAATGATTTGGTAAAAGTTGGCATTTCTTCTAAGGTCATAGATTATACGGGAAGAATATGCTAAAGTGGATGTTATGTTATGTGCCAAATTATTTGTCTTCGTAAGGAATTCTTCACTAAAAACTGAATAATTCAAGAAAATATGTTTTTTCCTATTCGAAACAATAATACCATTGTATAATAGTAAGTTCATGGATGTTGTTGCAAATGTCGCCTCCTCAATATTTGCAGAGTTTTCCGGAGTTACACTTTAGTCCTAAAGATTATAGTCGCTTTTACTTTTACTCATGAAGTTAGCTTTTTATATATTTTTCCCTTTCTTTAAATACTGATGTAAGGCACCCTCACGAGGATGTTGAATGAAAAATCAAATTTTATCTTCTTGTTTTTCTCTGTTTTCTTTTCCTTGCTTTCTTGATTCATTTTCATGGCTTTTTCCATTCGGGAATCGCTACAGATGTATTGACAGTTATCTTTATTAAATTAAAGATATTTTTATAAAAGGTTTGTTCAATTACAAGAGAACAAAGAAGCAATCTAATGCATCGTCCTCTCATGTCAATAATTACACCTCTTAATTTTTTTTAATATCATTAATAATAGAAGTATTTGTCTCAAGTATCTTTTATTTAACTAATACTTCACTAATTGAAACAGTACTAGCTAAAAAAAACTAGTAACAAAAATTTTTTTTGTTTTCCTGAAGTATCAAATATTTGGAATAAATTAATGTGATGACTCGATAGATTATCTTTAATTTTGACCTTCATTTCTGTATTCCCTGACCTTAAATAGTTCCATTTAGCATTTCTCAATTTTCGTGCACAATTCGTGTCTTAATTCGGGAGGTTTTTAGGTGAAAAATTGATAAGAATGTGAAATCATGGTTTAAAACTTTGAGTTGACTTCGGTCAATATTTTGAGCAAACGGACTCGGATCGGTATTCTGACGGTCTCAGTGGGTCCGTATCGTGATTTGGGACTTGGGAGTATGCCCAAAATTTATTTGGAGGTCCCTAGCTAATTATCGTCATTTGTTGAAAACCAAAAATTTAAAGGTCTAAAGATTCAAAAGTTTGACCACAAATTGATTTTGTTGATATCGGGCTCGGATTGCAATTCTGAGAGTTGGAATAGCTCCATTATGTCATTTGGGACTTACATGCAAAATTTGAGGTTATTCCGGATTGATTTGATATGTTTCGACGCAATTTATAGAATTGAAAATTTCATAAATTCATTAAGTTCGAATCGAGCTGCGATTTGTAGTTTCGACGTTATTTGGTGTGATTTGAGACCTAGAGTAAGTCTGTGTTACGTAATGAGACTTATTAGTATATTCAGACGAGGTTTCGAGTGGCTTGAGTGAGTTTTGGATCATTTTTGGTCAAGAAGGCAGGTCTGGTTCTGGTGCGTCGCACCTGCGAAATTTTGAGCGCAGATGCGTGGCCGCTCTTGCGGAATTTTTGGTCACTTCTGCGACGTTGTCACATGCTTGTTCCTTCGCTCCTGCAGAAATTTTTTGCGCAAGTGTGCAATCGCTTCTGCGAAGGGCGAGCCTGCTTTTGCGAGGCAGACCGCCTCTGCGTCACTTGGGCGCGTTTGCGATGTCGCAGGTGCGACATTTTCTTGCACAGGTGGGGATCTCTGCCTTGCAGGCTGGCTTCGCAAATGCGAGCCTTTTCTCGCAAATGTGTGCTTGCAGGCACGCTCATTAGTCCGCATGTGCGAAAGAGTCGGGCAGAATGCCTAAGTTCGGGAGTTCGACACTTTTGTTCATTTTTAGAGTTTTAGACCTCGATTTTGGGCGATTTCAGAGGGATTCTTCACGAGTTTGAGTTGGGTAAGTATTCTTTATTCGAAATTAGTTATATTTCTTGATTTCATACTTATTTACAGCATTAATTAGTGAATTGAATGGAAGAAAATGAGATTTTTGTAAAATCTTCCAAAAATAAAAAATGAGGATTTGAAGGGCGATTCGATATCGGAATTCGACAATTTTTGTATGGTTGGACTCGTATCATAACGGGTGTTCGAATTTCATAAATTATTGTTGGGTTCCGAAGTGTGGGTCCCGCATTGACTTTCTGTTGACTTTTTAAATTTTGTTCAATAATGAGTTAAACTAAACTCATTTCATTCGTGAGTAGTTTCTAAAACTTATTTTGAATCGTTTGATCAATAATTGACTAGATTTGAGGTGTTCGGAGGTCAATGCGCGAGGCAGGGCTTATTGGAATTTTGAGTTGATTGCGAAGTGAGGTAAGTGTTGGGTCTAACCTTAACTTGAGGGAATAGGGACCATTGAACTATGTGCTATGTGAATTTCATGTGTAGCGGTATATATGCAAGGCGACGAGTGTACATACGCCGTTAATTACTTGTTTCCATGTCTACCGTATTTCATTAATTATGTTATTCCATGTCTTGATTGTCACGTGCCTTAACTGCTTCTTATGCCTCAACTTGCTACTTGACATTTATTATTCTCGCATTATAATATGTAAATTTCTTCTATGTTTCTATGTTAATTGATAACTCCCTTAATTGTCATTGTACCCTTTAACTGCCATATATGTAACTTGTTTTGTTGCTCAGTATTAATTGTCGTCTTTCATGATTTGGTACGAAATTCTCTTCTTGATTTGTAGCTTTCATATTCGTTAATCGTTTGATTCGAGTTGTTAAATTGATTGCACTTGTTTATTTATTTATGGATCGGGTTGCACGCCGCAAAAGGTGAAATAAGGGTAGATTTATATTGATACGATGGGATCGGGTTGCGCGCCACAACAGGTGAAATTCAAATAAGGGTGGATTGATATGGTGAAATAAGGGAGAATTATTATATTGACTATGATTATATGGTGGGATCGGATTGCGGGCCGCAACATATATTTACTTATTATTATTGATATTTACATGGTAGAATAAGGATGGATAGTGTTGTACGGTAGGATCGTGTTGCGCGCCGCAACAATTTATGTGTTTTGTACCCCTTGTTGAATTATGTTGGCTTCGTACTTCCGTGCGAGATTCTGAGGATTGGTATTTTTGTATTAACTGGATTTCGAGGATTGAGTTATTTTTATGAGTTAACTATTTTATTTTCCCGTATGTTCCTTTCCCTGTCATTATTTTTATACACTGCGTGTAGGTTATTATAAGTGGCCCGCCTTAGCCTTGTCGCTACTTCGTCGAGGTTAGGCTCGGCACTTACAAAGTACATGGGGTCGTTTGTACTCATACTGCACTATGCACTTCTTGTGCAGATTTTGGAGTCGGTCCCAGCGGCGGTCATTAGGTTGCTCGGATTGACTATTGGACGGAAACTTGAGGTACAACTGCCCCACGTTCGCAACCCTGAAGTCCCCTTCTACTTTATCTTAGCTGCGTATTTTCATTTGGACAGCTTTACTTTTATTCAGACCTTTATCTGTATTATTCTAGTAGCTCGTGTACTTGTGACACCAGATCCGAGGTTGTATTAGATATTTCAGTTGTTATGGTTTTCCGCACTTCACTTCAAATTTATTTTAGTTATTTCGGTTTCTTTATTATTATTTAATATTATCCGTCAAAAATGGATAAATCATTCTAATGTTGGCTTGCCTAGCAAGTGAAATGTTGGGTGCCATCACGGTCCGATGATGGGATTTCCGGGTCGTGACAATTAAATCTCATTGGGGGATGCAGTTTGTGTAGCACGCAAAACTTACTTACAAAATGGGGAAATTCTTTTTTCCTTTCTCTGGATTATGGAGACGTTCGACTCTTGTGATTATCATTTGGATCTCGATTTACCCTTTGTCATCTGCTCAATTATCTTATTGTTGACGTTATATTAACTCATGATTTGTAGCCTATAGATTTTTTAGTAAAGAAACGCAATCATAAGTAGCGAATTGCTGTTGCGTTTGGATCTCTTTCTGCATACAGCTGCTAAACTTTCCAAGGATTAGAATATAAAAAATTGGTTTCGTGGAGTATTAAGAGAAAAGTGATATGATCCGTGATTAATTAAGGACCCCGTAAGCGGACAAACTTATCTACACGCAACCATATTAAGCACAGAGTAAATCTAATGTGTTAGTTAAGCAATATGCTCTCTTTAATATCATCAACTTCTGAAAATTTTGGATTTACTTGCTGTAATCTCTATGAGAAAGGGTCATTAAACATTTTTTATTTGAAAGATACTCAGTCCTTCTCACTTTTATTATAATGTCAAGCCTTTCAACCTAGCAGAATCCGAACTTTGAACTCACACATTTCAAACAAGTTAAGAAATTTTAACAGTCATATCAAGTGTAAGGATAAATTATTCCTAGAAAAAGATACAAAGTAAGCAAAAGTTAAAAAGCCACAAAAGGGAACATGCTGTATTATTTAGCCAGTGCACGCTAATGTAATTCCACTAGTATTTATTTTATACCCTTCTTGGAGTTGAAATTATGATTTCGCGATCAATATTATCACTTGGTTTTGCTTCCGGCACTTTATTCTTTACTTTTCTCGTCTGTCAAGGCAACTGATATTCCTTACCTTTGGCTTTTATTCCTACTGGCTCGTGGCTTATGGAAATGTGGGAAGACAATATATCTAAGCGTACCTGCAGCTGTGGCTGCTGTTTTTTGTTTTGATCTCTTGCTGATCAATGCATGGCACTAATTAAGCATCCTTCATATGAGAGCACTTGCAGCTGTAGCATGAGGCGGAGCCAGAATTTTAAGGTTATGGGTTCACGATTCTAATTGTTTTACGTTACTGGGTTC